ACATATTTGTTGTACATATTGTTGTAATAAAGCTTTCTGTTTAAATGGAATAGTTAATACTGAGGTTCTCACTGTATTGTTATTTACTATTCCGTGAGCATTTGCCAATTTGCCAAGGGTTTTGAGCTAATGATGTCAGCATTTTGCAACTCTTCTACATTGGGGATCTAGCACTCTGGACTTCTAAGTTTCATCTGATCTTCACTCAGCTGATGAGATTGGTAAGTTCTGAAACTTACCATTATCATTGACAAATCTTACCCTAGACACAGTTCTGCTGCTGCTGCAGGCCTTCTCTTCTGCCTTTCAATATTCTTAGCATGTTCTTGTGGTCTCTTTCTTCTTTCCCCCCTTAGATCCTCTTTCTCAGCTTTTCTTTTTCCTGTTTTTCTTCCATGTTGCTACTTTCTATGAAGTAATAGAAATCATTTTGAAAGGGCTAGAAGTGAAGGGAGAAGCACAGAGGTCACATGATCTCTATTTACATGTGTTTGTAATCATTGTTGAATACGATTGTCCTAGTGGCTATAGGCAAGTTGAATGGATTCCTTCTCTAGCTTTGCTGTCATGCCCATTTCGCCATCTATAGCCAGCAGGGAATCATCCAGTAATTAGCACACTGTAGCAGGAAACAATGGGTTTCATTTTAGGCTGGTTGATATACCAATCTGCACCCCATTTGAACAGTTGCTATGTTAAAATAATGTGAAATAAGTGAAAGAGAAGATCTCAACATGGAAATCATGCCAAACCAATCTTATTCCATTCCTTGATAAAGTGACTAAATTAGAAGATTAGCACCATAAACATTGTATACTTAGACTTCAGTAAGGCATTTGACAAAATTGACCACAAGCTACTTCGTGATAAGCTAGAAACAAGTGGGATAGATAGCATCCCCATCAGATGTAGTTGTAACTGGCTAACAAATCATACTCAACGAGTAGTCTTAATGGTACTACATCTACATGGAGGAAAGTAAGCAGTGGAATACCACAAAGTTCCATCTTAGGCCACTACTCTTCTATATTTTCATAAATAACTTAGATGGGGAATAGAAAGGGAACTCATCAAATTTGCAGATGATACTAAGCTGGCAGGAATAGTCAATACCCTAGACGACAAGTTCAAGGTCCAAATTGCTCTCAGCAGACTTGAAAACTGAGCTCTCTCTAACAAAATGAAATTCAATTTAGAAAAAAGTAAATTCTTACACTTAGGCAAGGAAAACCAAAAGTTTGCATACAGATTAGACAAAACCCGGCTTAATAGCAATAACTATGAGAGGGATCTTGGAGTCCTAGTGGAAAATCAATTAAATATGAACCAGCAGTGGTGGCAGTCAAAAAAAACCCAATGGAATCCTAAGATGCATTAACAGACGGATTGAATCAAGATCATGTGAGGTACTAATACTGCTCTATAAAGCCTTAGTAAGATGACATCTAGGCTACTGCATCCAGTTTTGGTCACCACACCATAAAAAAAAGATGTTGAAACTCTAGAAAAGAGTGCAAAGAAGAGCAACAAAGATGATTAGGGGTCTGGAGGCTAAAATACATGAACGGTTGCAAAAACTAGGCATGGCTACTCTACTGAAGAGAAGGACCAAGGGTGACATGATAGCAGTGTTCCAATATTTAAGGAGTTGTCACAGAGAAGAAGGGGTCAAAGTACCTGAACGCCTAAACAAGAATGGGTGGAAGCTGATCAAGGAGAGATGTAACCTAGAAATAAATATAAATTTTCTGACAGAACAATCAACCAATAGAACAGCTTGCCTTCAGAAGTTGTGGATGCTTCATCACTGGAAGCTTTCAAGAACAGACTGGACAGCAACTTGTCAGAAATGGTATAGGGCAGGAGTGTCAAAGTCATGACCCACAGGCCAGATGCGTCAAGCGCTGGCCACGCCCACTGCCGGTTTAGTAAAGGGGGAAAAGTCCCAATATGACACGTGACAACATGATGACGTGAGTTTGACACCCCTGGTATAGGGTTTCCTGCTTGAGCAGTGGGATGGAGTAGATGACCTACAAAGCCCTTACAACTCTGTTATTTTGTAAGTCACCCACAGAGGAGGAGGTTACAGATGCCAATGGCTGTAGACTGAATATAGTTGGTTAACAGAAACTGATCAAGTGCCAGGGAACTTAGCGAGTTGGGAAATGCCTGAATCAATGAACACTGGCAAATAAACAGGAAAAGCCCACTTCCTCCTTATTGTACACTTTTAAACAAGTCATAGAGCAAACATCCCATTTAGAATAAGTAAAACATCAAAATATTGGAGGCAGCCCATAATTCAAATGTTCATACAATGAAATTCTAAAAACAAACATTGCCAGCTAATTAAACGAACCATTTTACAATAATTGAATCAGTGAAGCCAATTAAACATGTAACCCCATTCCCTACTAAAATGCCAATAAAAGGGTTCAATTAAATAAAGAATCCATAAACAACTCAAGATGGAGGCATTATTCTCCAGGCACTGCAATGAATTAAAACAAGACACATTTTGGACTCAAATTAAAGCTGTTTAGGAAGAAGATACGAGGATAATGTTCTATGGGCCAAGGACAAAAATAGGACAATTATAGGACAAGAGTCTGCCATAGTAAATGGAATTGGAGACATCTGTTCTATTCAGATGGCAGAAGAGTAATCAATTGTTTCTTGCAGAAGTATATATTGTACAATTTATACAGCCCAAAATCTAGAATGGACACCTCAAAAGACCTTTGACTTATTTTGCTTCTGTCTTTTAGCCTGAGTAATAAAATCAAACAAAATATCTGCGTGTGGGTTCATGCCCCAGCATACATGTATGTTATAATCTATTGCCTAAAAGGAATGGCATTTCCTTTCCCAATAAAGGGAGAACTAGAAAACATAGCACCTTTTTGCTGAAACCCCATTTTCATCACTTCATTGGGTGATGAATGTTTTCATTTCTAGTTTACGAAGCACTGCACAATGTGGGCTTTTTCACAACTCAGTACATTTTTCTGCCATGAAGAGGGAATGGGATAGATATTTGAGTAATACAGTCCAATTAGAATGGTGCTGGTAGCACTCTTTTTATAACATAATTTCCCAGGCTGGCTGGCTTACTTCATTTATTTATGCAGATCATGGTATGTTGGTAATCATGCTACATATATAATTTTTCCCTATGTTAATTTGTTTGATATAATAAAAGTAATGAAAAGGAAAAGAGAATAGGAGTAGAAAAGTTGGGTGTTAATCACATGAACAAAGAAGAATAGTATATAAAGATATTTGGGGTTTTTTTTCTGATTAAGAGGTATTTCCTGCAATTCTAGTTTAAACACTTTCATCTAAATGAAATGGTCCAAAATAAATCTCTTTGTCTGGACATTATAAGAGCATAAAATGTCTTTTTCTAAATGAAACTATTCATTTCTCAAGTTCAAGTTAAGATACTGGACTGTCCTTTGTTGGAGTTGTTTAAATTAAGGCTCATATGATTATCAGTCAGAGATGCTATATTAATGGACTCTTATTGGGGCATAGAGGTGATTAAATTGATTGGATTTTTAAGACTGCCCAACTCTGTAAAGACTGTAGGGACTTTACAATGTATGAAATACATAATTAAAAACACTGTTAAAAATATACCCCATGGACAAAACAACAACATTCAAAAAGACTCCATAAACACTCCTAGACCAGGATGGGCCAGGTCCAGGTCCTAAAAGAATGCTGTAGAGTACATTATATACATGATTGCCTCCAGTTCCTATCTGCTATGGCTTTAAGCAGGGTTTTAAAGAAATATATTAAGAGTTTGGGATTTCTTCATAATTAAGAGACACTTCTACTGCACTGTAGATAGAAATGTTTTGTGGGTACACATCTTCTGAATTAGTCTAATGCAGAAATTGCCCAAATGTGGATTTTTAATTATAGTAAACAATACATAACATTTTTTTATTTTTAAATATTTTCAACTTCAGATTTTATAAACACTTAATCGCTACTCGGGAATAAATGAAAGAAAATTATCTCTCTCTCTCCTTCCCTCAAAGTTCAAGAAAAATCTGCTGGTAGCCCTGGTGAATGTTGGTAGATTGAGTGCGGAATCTCATTCTTCAAATGAAAATGTCAGATAATCAGATAATAATCATCAGATCATCAGATAAACAAAACCAAACCATTGTATCCACTGGCCTCTGCTATTTATGTATGCATATTTAAGATCAGTAGAACATATTTTAGGCAAGAGGATGCGTTGATTCCCTGCAATATTTTCTCCTCACAGGCTCAGGGAAAACTTTTGTGACCTTGTGATTTGAAGCTACAGCGGAATAAGATCCTTTTGGCTGAACGCGTTTTTGGACTCTTTTCGTTCTTTTTCTACAACCGTCAAAACTGTTTCCTGGAAGGGCAGCCTCGTTTTCACGAGACCTGCTATCTTTTTTTTTTTTTTTTTGGGGGGGGGGGGGGGGAATCCTGGATAGAATTGAAGATTTCAATGGCAAAGTTTCCCGTAATTTGCATGCGATGATTGCTTTGCAGAGACACCTCAGCGCTAAAAAAAGCAACGGTTCCAGCCCGTAACAATACTCTTAAGGCTAAGCTCTGTGTTCTGACTGACGCCACCGGCCTGCCTGAGCATGATGTCATGGTGCAAGGCCATGATGTCATGATGCAGAGTGCGGGCCACTTACTCACTCGCACCGTCGCGCCGTTTTCTGAGCCGCCTGTCCTTGCCAGGGACTGCCGAGAACAGAGACTGGGTCTTCTGCCCGCCCTCGGTTCTCCTCCCACTTCCCTCGGCTGTCAGGGCAGAGACCCCTCGGTTTTATTGAGGGGACTTCTGGTGCCAGAGGGCGCCGGCATCGCAGCAGCAGCAGCAGCAGCGCGCAAGCAGCAGCAGCAGCAACCAGCGCTGAGAGGAGGAGTTTGTGGTTTAGGGCGGATCCCGCAGAGCCGCTGCTGCTTGCTGGCCGGCTTAGGAGAAAAGAGGAGAAAGAAAGAGGCTGGGCGAGCAGCTGGGCGTCCTTGGTGCTGGCACCGCCGCCCGGGCATGAGGATGGCTGTGGGCGCAGCAGCGGCTCCAGGAGACGGGGGCTCGCCGAATCCCGGTCCCGCTGCGGTCTCCCTGGGCTTGAGCGTGGCTGTGGTGTCCAGCCTGGTCAATGGCTCCACGTTCGTGCTGCAGAAAAAAGGCATCGTGCGGGCAAGAGGACGAGGTAGGGCCCCCCTGGTCCCCGTCCCTTTCTATGCTTCGGGGCTGCAGCAGAAACGCTCTTGATGGCTTTTGCAACAGCTAGCATCCTCTGCGGGCATCTCCTCCCACTTGGCCGAGCCCACCCCGGCTTTCGTACGCCGCTTTTCCCGGAGCTCCTGCTTCCCTGGCACGGAGGTCACCCTCCGGGAGCGATTAAACCAAAATATTTAATACACCCAGGCCCCGAGACTGCCTTCCCCGATCAACACAGTGCCTCCAGAGGTGTCGGACTACAACTCCCAGAATTCCCAATCCTGGCGCTAAGTTGGGGAAGCCTGCTTTAAAAGAGACTGCTTCGTTCCAAGGCATTATCTTTGGCTTTAGGCAGTAGCACACCAAAGTATTTAGCACGTCCATTGCGAATACACCTTGCATTCCTCCTCCGGGTTGGGTCAGGAGCACAACCACCACGAAGGCTAACCCTTCAGCTCTCCAATCCAGCCACTCCCCCTCCTTTATTGTTTTCTTCTTCAAGTTTGTAATGATATCTGTACTTTTTTTCAAAAGTCAGTGCCTTTATGCCTGCAGGGTGAGTGTGGGCACTTGATTTGCAAAAGGATTATTAACTGAGCCATGAACGCTAAATAAAATCTCCCATATGTCAGGGGCCGGGGTTCACACAGCCTTTTCAGGATTTCGAATGTGATTTGTCCCTTAGTCCAGCAGATGCTATAGACTCAGTTTAAGTTTGTACTTTGCATTTGTAATCTGAATTTATGTTTTTTTTAAAAAAAATAAATTAACACCAAAGGGTTTCTCATAGAATCACTGAGTTTAGACAAGGCCATTTACATCAGTGTTTCTCAAACTAGGCAACTTTTAAGATGCACTGACTTCAGCTCCCAGAATTCCCCAATCAACCATGTTGGCTGGGGGATTCTGGCTCTTGAAGTCCACGTATTTTTAAATTGCCAAGTTTGAAAAATGTTGGTTTAGTCAGATCTAATCCGTTCAGGAATCCAAAAGATGCTAGGTTACCCAGTTTCTGTGTGAATACATCCAACGAAGACCCACCATCTCTCTAGAATAATTGGTTCCACTTTCACATTGCACATACTATGAAGACATTTACCTTCCTGTAATTTAAAGTACATTTACCATCTGGATTCTTATAAAGCAATAGATAAAAAGGATAGTATACCATATCAGAATGCATTATGTAGATCTGATCATAGTTTCAGAAATGGTTTGCTAAGTGGCACATAGAGGACTTTCTATTTGCAAAATACACATAATTCATCCATTACTCCCAAAGGGCTCTATAGCCATTTGCACTGTTCTTTGACCTTTGGTAATGATCGTTATGTATCCTCAATAAAGCAAACATACAGGCTCCCAAATCCACATTTTATTGTATTTCTGTTAATGGGGCATTTTTTTCAGTAAGCTCATTCACTGAGAAAGGACTATATACTCTTATAGGAATACCTAAAGTTAAGAACAGCTATATTCTGAAATAAGGGTAGAAAGGTGATACTGACATTTCTAATATAAGCTCTAGCATACCAAACTGGTCTTTGGGGGAATACTTGGATTTTAGTCTGTTCCCAATTCTATTACAAGGCCATTAAGCTCTGCATTCCAGAGCAGTCTTATTATACAGTATTGGAGCAGTCTAAACTCTACAGTATTGGATATTTCTGTGATTCCCCTACCTAGATAGACCTAGTACCAAAATATTAATCTCTAAAATCCAGCTATTTGATTGTTTAAGATTAATAAATGAAATATTAAAACAACAAAGTAAATAGTAATTTATTTTGACAGGTTTCTCTTCAAATTAGAGAATAACTTGTGCAGGTAGTCCTTGACTTACAACAGTTCATTTAGTGACTGTTCAAAGTTACAACAGCATTGAAAAAAGGGACTTGGGACCATTTTTCACACTTAAGACCGTTATAGCATCTCCATGGTCACATGGTTCACATTAGGATGCTTGACAACTGACAGTTGCACTGTCCCAAGGTCATATGATCCCCTTTTCTGACCTTCTGATAAGCAAAGTCAATGGGAAACCAGATTCATTTAACAACTGTGTTACTAATTTAACAGCTGCAGTGATTCACTTAACAAATGTGGCAAAAGAAATAACAAAATGGGGCAAAACTTACTTAATAAATTTCTCACTTAACCATAATTTTGGGTCCCATTGTGGTCATAAGTTGAGGACTATCTGTATTCAAGGTAACTTAAGTATCTTAATAATTTTTGTCAGGTAATCATTAACTCACATAACTGACCAACTGCATCACCAGTTTTATTTACAGGTAAACTTAGCGGATAATTAATATGGAGTGTACTTGTTTCATTCTGGAGAAAGTGAAAACTAGTATAGAACTGTTCCCATGTCTGCAGACGAAACTGCAAATATACATTAATTTGCTTATGAATACAGACTTTTTTGCATTGTGTTACTTAAGAAATATAGTTGGAAATTCACTGAAATGATGATTCATGTTCCAATGTATATTTAGGTATTTATTGTATAAGGAACTGGAAGATCCAGGTACAAATGTACAGTAGATTTGTTCTACCTTATAGTAGATTTATGTTCCTGGGAAGAATAGTGGAATTAAGAGTAATTAAACTAAGAAATATTATCCACTTTGTTTGGACAAGAATATAAGAATACTCTACTTAATCTATGCATACCACATGGACTACATGGTGGCTTGTGTATTCTTGATATCCCACATGTACAGGAACTTGATTATGTATTGCAAGGGAAGTTATAACATTTTACATGCTCAGTAATTTTTAAGTTCTCAAAAATAAACCTTGTATACTGACTTGATTGCATAACATTTAAAGTCATGGTTTGGTTTGATTTCTGACTCCTCATAAACTAGATTAAATTGTGATCAACAAAGAGCCACTAGTTATGTGATCTAAACAACTTTTAACCACATCCAGCTTTGTGCTTATCTTGCAGTTAAGCAATTAGATGACTCTTCTAGGAAAATGAGATGGGATAGAAGAGCAATGTCAAATTATAACCATATATTCAGCAGCATCTCTGTTGTTAGAGCTTCATTAACTCTTGTTGGTGTGTGTGTGTTATTTCAAAAAAATAACTAATGGCATTATATACAAGTACGATATCAAATACACTGGGCAATATAAAGTTGTGACTGATTTCTTTTCAGATAGTTTATCCTTCAAAATCTCCCCCTTTCATAACTGAGATATAGGAATAACTCAATTAGCATCGAAATACCATGTTTCTCATATAATAAGGCCGGGTCTTATTTTTTTTTTGAGCCCAGAAAAAATGGCTAGGCCATCTTTTTTGGGGTGACTTAATTCCCCCCCTTGCATCTTTGGGCGGGCGGGCAGGAATGGCTTGGATGTTGACCTCGGCATTGGTGGGGCACTTCATATTGGGGTCAACACAGGCAGCACTATATACGGGTGTGCAACAAAAGTACTTCCTAACAGCAAAACCCCACCACCACCATTCCCCCCCATTTTGCATGTTTTAATATAGGCCTTAATTTGGGGGGAGGGGCTTAATTTCATTTCATGCCTATAAAACATGCTGGGACTTCCTATTGGGGGAGGCCGTATTGTTAGAGAAACAGGGTATCAAAGAGTAATTTAAAAATAGAAAACTATGTACTGTTTGTAAAAGAAAAATCTCTTTGTTTGCTTGCTTCAGGAACAAATTTTACTTGATTTGTACAAGCAGCTAATTATTTGAAGCTCATCCTGACCAGCTGACAGTATTTTGTACTCATCTAGCATGTCTAGTTTGCATTTTCCACAGTCACTTGTCATAAATTCATGTTCCACTTTTGTTCTGTGTAAACAATTTGGAACAAAAAAGTAAGATTGAATTTTTAAAGAGCCTATTTGGTTCACTTGTCATTGTTTTTGTTTTCTTTTAAATATTATGAAAGTAATAGTTTAAATGCATCAGTTTTTGTCAGTTTTTTTTAAAAAGAAATATAATTTGGAGACTAGGAAGAACATAAGAACCCACTGGATTGAAATTTAACCCAGTATTTGTTTAATATGGAGAGGCAGGGTCCCTCAAACCCATCATAAATATTGAGTCTTCAAGACTTAATATTCTCTAATTCTTCATGCACATTTTTAGTTTGCTTTTAAACCCAGTAAAGTCAAGAGAAATCTATGTAATACATTCTTCAGGTTGATCATCCAATAAGTGAACAAATGCATTCCACTGTATGTTTTAATTCCATCAATTGGATAATTTCTTGTCCTATTGTCTTGACAGAGGGGGAAACAGATTAACATTAGCAATGTCAATTTTACAAAGAAGAGTTAACTATTTACATTAATGCAGCTAGAACTGATGAAGTTTCTTGGATGAAACATCTTCTTCAAGGGAAAAAAAACCATAATCCAGTTGCCTTTGGAAAAAATAATTTAAGACAGCCATGACCTGAATGACTGAGTATCTCTGTAGACTTTCAGCTATTCACATTAGTTCAGCTATTCACATTGGGCTTCATGCTTTTCCTTACTGAATAATCTCAAATACTGAAATCCTAAACAATGCACATTTTGGATAAAATATGGAAGTTGGGTTTTGATTAGGTAGTACTGACTTGGCAATAATTGTTTGTGCCCTCCAGTATTTTCTGTACTGTAGTCAACTGAGGCACAAAATGGCAGTTAGGCAAAAGTGCTTGTGGAAGCTTCACTTCCATTACCACTTTTATTCATTTCTGTAGAAGATGAGAACAGATTATCTCTTGAAAAGACATACCAAGATTACAAAAGATATTTCAAATCTTAGAAACAGGTGTAATGATTATGTTACATTCTGCAAGAAACAGAATATCTATGCACTTTTAAACAATTCAAATTCAGTTTTTTCATAAACATTGAAGGCATAGGTAAATATATATTTATATCCATTTCTCAATTGATGAGCCTCAATAGTGATGCTCAAGAACAATTTCAAAAATTATTTTGTGGTTTTGAAAATATTTTAATATCAATCATTTGATTTAGGGCAAGGGTGAACCAGGTGCGTATCTATTTTCTTAAGAGCTGGATTATTAATAACCACACCAGGGTCATGACTGATTATCTTCACTAGAAACCAATTATAAAAAGTAATGCTGATTATGGTTGTATTCACAAGAAAGATTTGCATTGGTTCATGCATCATAGTTAAATAACTCTGTAAGGTGATGTAGTGGTAAAGTTAACATATTGTTAAAGCTATATGAGCCAGCAGTGTGCAGCAGCCACCAAAAAGGCTAATGCAATCCTAAATTGCATTAACAGAGGGATACAGTCAAGATCAAGGGAAGTACTAATACCACTCTATAAAGCCTTAGTAAGACCACACCTAGAGTACTGCATCCAGTTTTGGTCACCACATTAATAAAAAAGATGTTGAGACTCCAGAAAAAGTACAGAGAAGAGCAACCAGAATGATTAGGGGATGGAGGCTAAAACATACAACGAACGGTTGCAGGAACTGGGCTTGGCTAGTCTAGTAAAGAGAAGGACCAGGGGAGACATGATAATGGTCTTCCAATATTTGAGGGGCTGCCACAGGGAGGAAGGGGTCAAGCTATTTTCTAAACCTCCTGTGGGCCAGACAAGGATTAATGGATGGAAACTAAACAAGGAGAGATTTAACCTGGAAATAAGGAGAAACTTTCTGACAGTGAAAACAGTCAACCAATGGAACAGCTTGCCCTCGGAGGTTGTGGGAGCACCATCAGTTGAGACTTTCAAGAAGAGATTGGACTGTCATTTGTCAGAAATGGTGTAGGGTCTCCTGCTTGGGCGGGGGGTTGGACTAGATGACCTACAAGATCCCTTCCAACTCTGATTTTCTGATTAACTGTATCTGTATCTGTATCTTTAGAAAATTGTACCAATAAAATATATATTATTTAAACTGATGATCCAATTTTTATTTTTCACCTATCCAGGGACTTCATATTTAACTGATATAGTGTGGTGGTCAGGTACTATTGCAAGTAAGTACATCTTCTATATTTAAACAATTTTACATCTTAAAACCATATTGAAGGACTGTACTGTTCTATCCAGATGTATTAGACAACAATTCTTATTCATATGATGAGCAGTTCATATGATCATAACTCTGGTCCAATATAACTATTTAAAGGAAAGGTGCTGACACGATCAGTCTAGCATATTTTGATATAAGGATACTGTTTCATTGGTATTTTTCATGATAGTTTGCTTGCTGGCAGCATATTCATTCATTTCACAAACAGGATATGGTAGCTTTGGCTAAACTATATTCCTCACGGGCAACATAATTTAAGTATAAAATTGATTTTATCCAGGGAAACATCTACGGGGAGAGTCAAAATCTATGATTTGCCATCCAGCTATATTGGGTGATAATTGCTGGAAATAATTCATATCAAAAACACATCTTGAGGAACCAGACTGGAGAAAGTTGAATTAGAATGTACCTGGAATCATCTTGTTAGACACAAGAATGTATGAGCAATGCATAGATTATTTTTCTTAAGAGTTACTATTTTGCAGTCACATTTTCTGAATTAAAAACAAGTTATTTCACTGAAGTTAAGCTCAACTTCTTTTATGAATTTGTCTATGTAGTTTATTAAGCAGCAATATCAGAACTGATTTTCCAGTGCTTTTTTTTCCAAAACAACATTTTGACGTGGTCTAATTAATAGCCTTGGGATATTGTGGTTTTTCCCATGCAAGTACTAATCAAGACTATTTCTGCTATCCTTTTCAAAATAAGCCAAATTTATTTAAATATTGTCATCTGGAAATGAACTTTTGAAAACAACAACAATGAAAAACCTAAACAGCACGAGTGTAACAATTTAGATAGCTTGTAATTCTTTTGTTTGGCTGATGATATTATAATCCTGCTTAAACATATATCAATTTATTGACCTACAGATATATTGCAATTTCAAATTTTCCAATCAGGGTTGCCATGCAGACTTGGAATGCCCCAAAAGTGTAATTCACACACCCCTGGAAAACACCAGATTGGAAAAGGCTGAAATAAGGTGCTAGGAAATGGAACCTTCAGCTAGCATAAAATGTATTGAGAAGGTATCAAAATACTTTATATCAATGCAGAGTAGGATTCATTTTAGTTCAATATCGTCTACACCAGTGGTCACCAACCAGTGGATCGGGGACCAGTGGTGATCCACGACAAAATTTTGGTGGTCCGCAGAGAAATGTCACCCCCAAAGCATCCCCCAAAGCAATTAGTCCAGGCTGTGAGGGAACTGCAAGGCTGCACCGCCCACATGGCCTATGGGAACACAAGGCTTGCATCGCTTGCATTGCGAACAACACAAGGTAGTGATGGGAGAGGGGAAAGGGCAGAGGGGGGAACTTGCCCCACTCTCCCCATTCACCTGTCTTGGCCACTGGGTTGCTTCTTTCTACTTCTTCTTCTTCTGCTTTTGTCTTCACACAAGGAAAGCAGCAAAAGGCTTTTTTTTCTCTTCCCCCAAGCTCCACCAGAAATTAGTCTTTGGGACCCTGCAAGGCATCATGCTCCAAGAGGCTGTGCTGGCAAAGATTCATTTGTGGCGGAGCTTGTGGGAGAGAAAGACAGACTTCTGCTGCTTTCCTTGCATGAAGCCAAAGGTCTCTCTCTCTTTCCCTCTTTCCCCCTGAGAACGAAGCTGGAGACGGAATCCTATAACCCAAATAAAGAATGATCGATTGGTAGGAAAATGGGGTGGAGAATTTTCCCACAGATTTTTTTTGGGGGGGCGGGATTTTCCCAGGGTCTCTGGTCCATGTAATTTAAAATTGTGAGTTTTGGTCCCTGAGGTCCAAAAGGTTGATGACCGCTGGTCTGCACTGCCATTGTTCAGGATTATTTCACACACACACACACACACACACGTATACAAACACATACACACAAAATAAACAATTTAGTGAGGCCTAAGAATAGTCAATGCGATTTTGTGGAAAGATGAAAATAGTAGTCACTGGCACCTGAAGAATGGCACATAATATCAATACATTGTGATGTCATTGTACAAATGGCAGAAATTAAATGCTGTGTGTCATTTGCATCAGGATGAGACTGGTGCAAAGTACCTAAATCCATGCTATTTGCAAGTCTGAACTCATAGCCCAGAGTGTGGTCCATCTTGTTCTACTGCTATCAGTCTTGATGTTGCTTGCATGTAACATACAGCATCCTAACATTTTCATGTCCCCATTGTCCCACTGGTTTATCAGGGTTTCAAACAAGGAGCCAGAAGCAAAATCAGAGTGTTGCTTCTGAGTTACAGAGCTATGGATGCTCAACTTTTCCCTTCTCAAGATCCAAAATTAATGGATCATTAGCCAGCTATACTCAGCAATTGTCAAGTTTTTTTGGGGGGAGAGGGGTAATATAGTATTGTGATTTAGATATGGAAATATAGCGATTGTGGCTTTAATGACAGTACCATCATTCTTGCTACTTCTTTAAGGCTAAAAGAAAAAAAAAAACCTCCTCACTATTTACTAGTTTTCCTGCCCATGAATATAAAGGACAGTCATACCATTTAACTAAAATGCAGCCAGAGAAACATGCAGCAGGTTGAAATAGGAAGGAAATCATAAAAAAATAAAGCTGCCAAGCAGTGAGGTAATAAAGCAATAAACCACCAAAACCCTGCAGTCTAAGTCAGTTGTTCAAAAAATAATGAAATGTTTTGTTTTGTTTTCTGTTCACATATTTGTGTTTTTTTTTTTCCACAGTGGCACTTGGCCAGATTGGGAATTTCTTAGCTTATACTGCAGTTCCTACTGTTCTTGTGACTCCACTTGGAGCACTTGGAGTCCCATTTGGGTAAGGATTTTTTTTATTCTATCTTTTTTCCCTTTCTTCAAATGAGGCTATCCATCTGAGTAACTGCTGTATCTTCTAGATCAGCGGTCTCCAACCGTGGCAACTTTAAGACTTGTGGACTTCAACTCCCAGAATTCTCCTGCCAGCTGGGAGTTGTGGGAATTCTGGGAGTTGAAGTCCACAAGTCTTAAAGTTGCCAAGGTTGGAGACCTCTGTTCTAGATAACTATGTTAATTTTTGTTTTTGCAATTATTATTATTTTTACTAGTAGTGCCAAAAGTATTTAATTTTTTTCATCTGTTCTAGTAATTTGCATTAAAAATGACCTAATTTTCCCCCCTTATCTTCCCCTTTGATCCTTAATTTAAGGAAAATATATTAGTTGTTTTTTAGATTTCTTTCTGTCCTCTGAAAAGTGCAGATGCTTTTATTTATTTATTTTGCAAAGAAAGCCATTTTCAAAGGTTTACTGTGAACATATTTATGTTTACATGCGCAAATACGGAAATGTAAAATGTGTAAACCTCTCAACCACTCAAATAAAATGTCATTTGATTCTCAGAGATCCTGGCTAAATGAATTCCATCCTCTGAATTTTTCAATTAGTTAACTGACTCTCTTGGTGTTACTTCAGGCTGTGGAATTGTATCCAGGGCTAAAAAATGATTCAATCCCCAGCAAGTTACAGAAAGAAGACAGAGTGAAACTTCTAGGACTGTGCCTCAGATAGCTATCCTTTTTCAAATAAATATTTAAATTAATGTCCAGATATTATATTCCTTTTGGACATTTTTGCTACAAATGGCACTGTCCTCTCTCTATCCAAAGAATCATGAAGTGACTCTCAAGGTGAAAAATTGAAGGTAGATGGTTTTTTTAAAAAGGTTTTACATCTGTGGTGCTGCACAGTCATGTTGGATCTGTTAAGGAAACATATCCTGTATCAGCAGCTGCAAAAATGTTCTGGTACTTTAAAAAATGCCACATGTAATTTGCAGGAGAAATCCAGTCGGTATTTTTCATTGATACAAAATGCATGGGGAAGCACTCCTTTCCTATCTCGCATTCCCACTTGCCAGACCAAACTTAAGTGTTGAAATATATCCACATTGCTAGCTGGGGAATTTGGAGAGAAGTTCACACCTTAAAATTGCTAAAGCTGAGAAACGCTAGTTTAAACCAATAAAGAAAACTCTCCTGAAAGAAAAACTGTTGAATAATTTCTTAACCTTCAGCAGGGACATCCACAAGAGCAATCAAACTGTGAAGAAAATGGCCATAACTAAATGATCTATCTTTATGTGCATCATGAAAAAAAAAAAGGTTAGGATTTCCATCACATAGTTGCCACGTTGATTTTTGGAACTCCCCTTTGTGGAGAGTCTGCCTTATAACAGAGAACTCCTGATACAATTTTTCTCTTTGACCCTCTCTTTCTAAGGTCCATTTTAGCTTCCTATCTACTGAAAGAAAAACTGAACATTTTGGGCAAATTGGGCTGCCTCCTGAGTTGCGCAGGTTCTGTGGTTCTCATCATTCATTCTCCAAAGTCTGAAAGTGTCACCACTCAGGCCGAGCTTGAGGAAAAGCTTACAAATCCAGGTACTTAATTCTTTGGGTTAACCATGTTGACAAGTAAATCTGAGTCACAAGACAAAAATGAAAAAAAAAGTGTAAGTTGCTCCAACATATAACATTGGCTTACTTTGTACTTTGTAAAAATTGCTGAACAACTTTTTGTTGTCAAAGGAATGCATCATTTTCCCTCCTCTTTGATATTTAATTATGAAACTCGTTTGCTCCACAGTCCTAAGCATAACTACCTTTTTTTTTTACTACCAAATAAGTTAGATTTGCAAGTTTTCCAATAGGTACAGTATAAGGCAAGAATAACATAAAAAAAAATTAAAGAAAAAAATTACTTAAGCTTTAAAATAAGCTTGTTTTCCTATCTGGTAGAGATTTTTATGTAATCCATTAAATAATAAAGATTGAATTAATTGTACTTCTGTATAATTTCAGTCAATGGAATTTAAGCAGTTTTATTACTTAGGGTTACAAATAAGTTCTATAAATTTATAAATTCAACCGAGGAAGGCTGGAAATTAAAATAATAAATAATGGTTTTGGATGTAAACTTATTGTTAGAACTCATAGAATAAAGGAGAATGTATTTTCTTGTAATTATTTCAGTGTACTTTATACATAAAAGGAATCAATCCACTGGTCTCTTCCAATTGTGTTTGGGATTATAGCATCCCAGATTCTTAGCTAAAGACCATGATAGCTGTAAAATCTGGAAATTGTACCTCCAAATTGGGGAACATCTAAATACAACATAGTTGATTCAGTGATGAGCAAACCACTGACTGCTTCCAAGAGTAGGTATGATTAATAAGCTGTTTGTGATTATCATAAAATGATAATGCAAACTATGGACTATAGTTTTGTCTCTCTGAAGAAATTAAAAAATAAAGTGATGGTCGTATGATTTCAGACAATTTCTAGATAAAGGAAGAGTGAGATGACTGTCTGGCCCATGATAAATAACATGGAAGATAATTTAAATATGCTCTGCAGTATTTAGTTTCCATATAAACAGAGATATGCATTTCAAAAGAACAATTTTCTGAATCAAAAGCATAATTTGCCATAATAAATTAAATAACAGACTATCAAAACCAGAGCACAATTTAGGATAAACACCAGGGTTTGAGTCAGAGGGAAAATAAGAACTTAATAAGAAAAGGAATGACCATTTACAGGAAACCTCACAGTACTTCCAAATGTAGTCTTTCCAAACTCAATCCTTTCCAAACGTGTTAGTGTATAGTTCATTACATTGACATGTCAGCTAAAAGATAAAGGGCATTTCACTCTAAAAACCGTTAAGATAGATAGAATTCTTTATTGTCCAAGTATGATCAGACCCACAAAGAATTTGTCTCCGGTGCATAAGCTCTCAGTGTACATACAAGCAACAAGTGATAGAACATGATCATAATCATAAAATACAATAATCATAAATCATAACATATAACATTCAGTGATAGTTATAGGATACTAAATAATCAACATAAATCATAATAAGATACTAAATAAAAGTAATCAACATAAATCATGAGATACAAACAGCAAATTTATGGCATAAAAATCTAAGGAAATAGGTAGTAGGAAAGATGAGAAGGATAATAGTAATACATCCCTACTAGGTGGTTGATGATGAAGTTTATTACAAAATACGATTTGGAAAGTTGTCTAGATCAGTGGTCGCCAATTGGTGGGCCATGGCCCACTGGTAGTCTGTGAGAAAATTTTGGTGGTCCACCCCAAAATTGTGCCCCCCAAAGCACTCCCCAAAGCAATTAATCCAGGTTGCGCGGGAACATAAGGTTGCATCGCCCACATGGCCCACCCACTCGCTGGCCCCCACCCTTCAGCCAAACGCAAACCTGCAAGAAGCAGTGCAGCCCTTGCTGTCCAGTACGAGGTAATGGTGCTGTTGCAGCAAGAGAGGGCTGGCGACCCAGGTGGGCTGAAGCATTGATGGAGATGGCCAGAACATGCAGAAACCTGTTTGTGCAGGCAAGATATCGAGCTTTTCTGGGCTCAACACCCGCCCCCCTTCGGCCTCCACATAGGGAGGGACCCTTCTCTGCTTGGAAGTGCTTGGGAGAAACCTGAAGCTTAGCCTCAGGGAGTCCTCTTGGGTGGAGGTGAAGGTGGGGGTAAAGGGGGTTTATTAGGAGCCTGTCTTCCTTTTGCTGTTTTGGTCTGGGCATCCGACTTTCACTGCCAGCTTGTTGTGGGATTGCCGGGAACTCCAGATTGGGTTGAGCTGAGCGCCTTGGAAGTCTCATAGTTTGCCTGGTTGCTTTTTGTGCAGGCAAGAGCTTGAGCTTTTCTGGGCTTGACACACACACAAGAGGACTCCCCGAGAGACATCTGAGTGCGTCTTCTGACCCTCCGGCACTCGCCCGCAACTCTCCGCGCTCTTCCAGGCTCAGTCTCTGTTGCCCCCCCCCCGCCCCCCATGGCCCCAGCCATCGCTGCCCGGGGAAGGCACAGGAAAAGAAAGCAAGCAGAAACATAGCTCTCGCTGGAGCAAAAGAACGGAGATCAGCGAAGGCACAGGCAACAGAAAGCGGCGCTTTTCAAAGGTGGCAGCTTGCGTCTTCTGTTGCCTGTACCTTCCTCGATCTCCGCTCTTTCACCCCAGTGAAAGCTATGTTTCTGCTTTCTTTTCCTGTGCCTTCCCCGGGCAGCAATGGCTGGGACCATGGGGGGAGGCAGCGGAGCAGAGCGCCGAGGGGGACGAGAAATCTGACAACAACCCATTCCGGACCTCTGAACAGGATGGTGAGCCCATTCCACCCCCTCCCACCACCGGCAGCCGGTACTTTTCCTGCCCCAGGCCATCCCTACAGCTCGCAGCCATCAAGGAAAAGCCCAGATCAGGAGAGGTGAGCTGGAAGGTGCAGGAGTGCCACACAAATGTAAGTAGTGCAGCACTCCTGTACCTTCCACCATCATCATCGCAGCTTCAGCCCACCTGTGCCTCCAGCCCCCTCTTGATGCAATAGCACCATTACTGCGTCCTGGCTGGTGAGGGCAGCGCTGCTTTTTACATATTGCACCACCTGCAAATTTGCACATTAAAAGTGCCAGCCCCTACAGCGGAGATTTCCCACCCCACCACGGGCAGGTTCCATATTCCAGAGCCACAGTCAGTCAAAATTCATATTAGTGGTCCGCGGGATTTGAAATTATGAGTTTGGTGGTCCCTGAGGTCCAAAAGGTTAGTGACCCGTGATCTAGATAAAGCCAGTGTGAGTTAATGTCACTATATAAACAATGCGCAGTATGGATCATTGTGATTTCTAGCATTTTGGATATGCATCATATAAATAGAATTGTTTTCAAGAAATATCATTTAGTTGAACTTAATTGTGCTATTATATTCTTTTTGTTTTTCAGTATTCGTGGGTTACCTCTGTGTTGTGCTTCTCATGCTGCTTCTGCTTATCTTTTGGATTGCACCAGCCCATGGACCCACTAACATTATGGTTTACATCAGTATTTGCTCATTGTTAGGAAGTTTCACTGTGCCTAGTACAAAAGGAATTGGACTGGCTGCTCAAGATATCTTTCACAATAATCCATCAAGTCAAAGAGCATTATATCTTTGTTTGGTTCTGTTAGCAGTATTGGGGTGTAGTATAATAATTCAGTTTAGGTACATCAATAAGGCACTAGAATGTTTTGATTCCTCAGTGTTTGGTGCCATCTATTATGTAGTATTCACCACTCTTGTCTTGCTGGCGTCAGCCATTTTGTTCAGAGAATGGAGTAATGTTGGTGTTGTTGACTTCTTGGGGATGGCTTGTGGGTTCACCACTGTATCTATTGGAATCGTTCTTATACAAGTCTTCAAAGAATTCAATTTCAATATTGGTGATTTGAATAAGCCTAATATGAAGACCGATTAAATTCTTAACGTTCAAATGAATTGGGTAATCCAGAGAATGATAGTGTCTTCAATTTTTAGGCCCCAGAAATGATAGCCTTTAATTTCTAAACTTTGAAAATAACATCGCCTTTCATTCCTTGCTGGAATATGTGAAATGAATTAGTGTTCTTAATTCAGTTTCTTAGGACTATTGTCATGCTTTGTATCTTATGGTATCAAATGATTTTATAAACCTCATAGCAAATAGGATAAGAATTGCATCACCACAGAAGCTGATGTATTTCTTTATCCTTAAAGATTATCTATGTAGTGTAGGATTGAATTATTTTGGTCTATGAAGAACCAGGAATCTTTTCAAATGGTTACCCAGAATCTTCTGGTTGTGTGAATCAACTGTCAACATTTGTGTATACAACTGAGCAGATGCCATGAGTGATCAATAGCCCTTTTAAAAAATGTAAATACACTTCAGATACTAGATTGGGCTTTCTTTCTATTTACCTTCACAGTTATGATTCAGCTTTCAGTATTCTTCCAGGTGTATTTGAAGATTCCACAATGGTTGCTACAGACTGTGTGTTGATATGGTTTGTTCTTTCTCTACCTTTGTAATTTGGACCGATGACATAGAATTCATAATTATGTCCAAAACTAGGGCAGTGTGTTTATATCTTAACATACGTTCTCTCTCATACCAGCTCACAAAGTTGCTCACAAATCTAAGTAAATGCAGCACTTAGTTGACAGCTACGCCTCTTGTTCACATGAATCACTTAATGTATGTTAACACATGATATTAATTCAAGAGCTTTTATTTCATATAAAACAATATGAGGAATGCGTTAGATAATAACTACTTTCTACCTTTTTTGGTAGATCATTTGTAAACAGCTGGAAACTACTTCAGTGCCTTTTCTATTCTGATAAGATCACTTTCATGGGACAGTTCATGTTCTCTAATATTTGGGTGTCCTCATGCTTATCAATCTTAACAAAGCAGAGACACTAATACAATATTTGAATTATGGGGTAACTTCTATGCACTTCCAACTGGCGTTTGTTTAGAACAGAAGTATTCTATTATATTAGTTCATATTCAGTTATGTTCCCTAGAAAGTTTTCCCTAACAAATTCCAGTAAACTATGTATAGCATCTTTTGTCAGCTTTTGAACTGGCACGTTTAGAGGCATTATAAAGGAATTTTTAAAAGGAAAGAAAAATGTTGTTCGGTTAAGGGAAAAATAAGTGATTCTTCTGCAGGGCCTGGAAATTGTTGTCACTCACTAGAAAGAACAGAGAAAAACAATGGGACTTCTGTTTCCACAATACCAGTGTTTTTCAACCTTGGCAACCTTAAAAAGTGTGAACTTCAACTCCCAGAATTCTGGAAGTTAAAGTCCACATGTTTTAAAGTTGTACCAAGTATAAAAACCTCAGTAAAAGAACATTTTCTGATTCAGAAACTAAGGGTCGTCTTTGATTCAATAGATATGAGTGTGTTTGCAGGTTCTTATTATGACTTGAATTAACAATAGTGAAGTCTGTCATAGAAAAAGCAGTTTTGTGTCAGTGTCAAAGAAATACTGTATAAATAGGTACATGTATACTTTGCCAGACCAGGTTTTATTTATTATTCTGTATGTCATTTTGTTGAACTTGTAAGCTTGCATTACTTTTTAAAATCACTGCATTTGAAACTTCTGAACTAAGGAGGCACTTGACTCAAAAATATTTGTGAAGGGAACAAGAAACAAATCATGTGCCCAGTACAAACTCTGTCCTTATATACTTTGTGATGTCATGATGCAAGTACAAATACTGTATGACACTTGTGTCATTATGTCGTGAAACATTTTATTGTTTCGACATAATCAAAATTAGGAACAGACGCCAACTGTTAGTGTCAATCTGCACCTTCAAGCATACTTTATCTTTACAAGTAGTTTCTGACAATAACGTTATTTGCAGTGCAACCACAAGGTTGTACAAAATGGCTGTTTTTCTCAATCAATATAAGCAATCAGTGTAGAAATCTTATGATTCCTTTTAAATTCTGAAAATTGCAAATTGGAGATGACTTTCCAAAATAAGATAGCTTAACCAGACATACCTTTTGTACATTAGGGATGAAGACTATTTGACTCCACGTATGTATGGTATGTATTTTAAAATGATTAAAACCCATACTAATAGCTAGTTGAACACTTAGAACATTAAATATTTGAGAATGCATTACAGGTGCAGCCTGAATGGGGCTTCTCATTCCCTATAATGGACACCATGGGAAGAAAAATGTGGATCAGAATGTAGCCGGTCATAAAACAACAATTTAACAAAGGCCAATAGGGAACTCTTTCCATTTACCACACTGTGTTGTTCCTACTAGTCAAGCTGACGTTTATGGTTTTTATGGTTGGGTCAACATACTTTAGAACAAAGCATTGGCTTATAGTCACAGACTCTTTTTTATTTTCTGAGAATACCTGTGAGGCTACGTATTGGACTCAAAGAAATTTCTTTGGAAATAAATCATGTTGAAGTCTAGTTATCTTTTAAAAGAAAACACACATATATTGTCTGATGGTGCAAAGAGCCCACTAAATACCAAGGTAGGAGTCCATAAACAGATTGGCTTCTTCCCCCCCATCGGAATGATTTAGACATCGAGTCATGTTTGAAGTGGACAGATCCTTTTCACGCTGTACATACATGGGGTAGAGGAAATGCATGCTATAACTTCAACAAAATGGCATTTAAAAAATAACTTCTGAAGTAACCTTTAATCAACTTTTAATGTGCAAACACTGGTTTGGCTTGCTTATTTATTCATTTATTTAAGAAATATCCACTTCTCCCAAGTGGTTTTAGGTAGCTTATAAGGCAGTCATTATTTCTAAATGTGAATGGATGGATAAAAAATCTTCCTGAAATGTGTAGCATGTACAGAGAGAGGTTAGAAGAAACACGTTAATACATAGGAGATAAAAATGTTTGAGTCTCTCCAATTGAAGAGAGTTTTGCTTGAGCTGCGATCCATTCACTAGGTATCATGCATATCAAAGAAAATTCTGAATGCTTATAGCATTTTGCTCTAACAAGTTGGTACAGGTTTTAGCTCTTGCAGTTAATCAGTATTCATATTCATAATCAGGATTAAAACTTTTCCCAATGTTACTTTTTAAACAAAATACTGTATGCTTGACAGTCACATTTTTTTTAGCTTTTCAGTTTTCTTTAACATATTTAGGTACATGGTTTGACTTTTCTAGAATCATTATTATTATTATTATTATTATTATTATTATTATTATTATTATTATTATTAAATTGTCACAAATTATAGCTTATTATTTATGCCATTTTTTCTCTCTGTGAAGAAATAGCTATCCTAGCATACTGTATTAATGCACATGTAAAATTGTATACACTTTGAAAACCTTTCAGCTGTTCTTTATTGATTGAGACATTTACTAGGACATCTTGGCTGGGATAACTAATATTTGTTTAGAATGCTAAAAAGGATGTTACTATCCTTCAAATAAAGCTTCAGGGCAAACATGTAATTTTAAGCAGTGTTACAATTTAGAAGTATTTGATTTATATGTATATAACATTAAAGAGTAGAATCTTGTTCCGACAAGTTAAAATGTTTTAGAAAAACCAAGCTATTATGTACAAGCTACCAGTATTACATAATCTTGATCTAAAACGATTAAACTACTAGATGACATCTACCAGCCGCCAGCAATTAATTGAGAATCAACTGACACCATAACACATCGCACTAAATCTTTGGCTTTGGGTTCATTTGCATGAACTAGTCATCATAGCTTATACAATAAACTATGGTGAAGCAAACTGTGGGTATATGCCCTCTACCATCCAAATTTCTTTGTGCTGCTATTACTGTTCAGTAAGGAATTATCGATAGAGAAAACTTTTTGACAAGGATAACATACATAATCTTGGTTTTGAGTTTGATGCCTTTTAAGTTGAGACAGCCTTTTAAGCTAGATTCCAGAAAGTTGTAATGTATATATTGGCATTCCATGTAGCTTCTAACTTTTTAAATGATACATATAGAAATACTTATTTTTGCTACTTATTTTAACAAATAATATTTTTTTCTCCCTTTTAAGCTTCTCTCTAGAATAGTCATCAATAACGATGATATTAGCATTGGGCCTTACTTCCATTTCCTGATTTTTTAAATGCATCTTTTTTTGTTAATATTTTACTATATTTTTTTTAAGATGCAGTGATTAAATTATTGCAATTTTAGGTATGGTATGCCATACTGGGCAATAAATGTGCTGGTATCTCTTGAACTTTGGTCTTCCTTAAACCTCAACATACTCTTACTAGGATATTACTTGATTCATATACACTGGCCACATTGATCACATTCATCCATAGCAAACCATGCTTGTCTTGTTCTAAGAAATGTGAGTCTGGCTTATACATAATACTACACAAATTCAGGCAGAAAGAACTAAAAAATTAAAAAGGCACATTCCCTGCAGTCAGAATTGAACTGAATTGAATTGAATTCTTTATTGGCCAAGTGTGATTGGACACACAAGGAATTTGTCTTTGGTGCATATGCTTTCAGTGTACATAAAAAGAAAAAAATACATTTGTCAAGAGTCAAGGTACAACACTTAATGATAGTTATAGAGTACAAATAAGCAAAAGATTATCATAATTTGTAGATGGGTTGATGATAGAATTAAAACTTAAAGGAATTTTAACTCATGTTTATTAACATGTTTTAAGTGAGCTGTGTGGGAAGCATACTACAACCAAGTACAATCTTAAAGCATTTCATTATAACGTATAATGATTTACCAAAGATTCTTTAATTCTCTTGAGTAGCATGTTCCAGAGTTTATGTATGTAACACCTGATACAGTTCTATATAAACACTTAGGCTTCCATAGTCAAATTGTATATTTCATTGGATTCTGAAGTGACCAGGAACTAGCATAACCTATACATGGATATAAACATTTTTCTGCCAATTTGAATATATTGATTATTCAAATCAATGTTCACTCTTATATTGAAATATGCATAAAAGTGCTATGTTTAACTCTACTATTTAGAGCCTGTGTTCACTTGTAAACAATTTTATAAGTTTATAAATTTGTTTGCTTAAGAATTCATTGAAACATAATTTACTAGTGGGTGGAATGGGGCTAAATTTTTGCAGAATTCATAAACTTTATAAAGACTAGAAATTCATGCAAACTTCCTTTCAGGATAAGAAACAGAATTGTGAATCAAATAAATTTAAAAGCATGAGAGAAAAAACCAGAGCTATATGAACTTTATACCAACACCATCCATTATATTTGTCTGTACCTTTCAACTCTTCCAGAAAATGTTGTGTTGAACATGTTCACGTTGTATCATACATTAAATTTGCTCTTTAAATTTCTCTCTCCTCTTTTTGAGGATTTTATCAGTTCAACTAACTTAAATTTCTCAATCCTTTTCAACCCGTTCACTCTTCCTTTATATATATTTCTTCTACAATTCAGTCCTTATTCATTCTGTCTACACAACCAAACCATCTCAAAATAGTTCTTTTGTGTTCATACATCTTGATTAAATACCATCCTTTCTTGACCACTTTTTTCTTTTTTAACACATCCTTCTTACGTTTCTATTGTACTTATCTATTTCCTAATGTATCAAACTTTCACTTCAATATGACAAGGTGAGCAGAACTGAACGTTTATATATGTCTTTCAACAAATATTCCTCATAACAGAAAATGTTGTCTACTACTGTTCTACCAGCATTTGCAGTCTAGAAATATTTACATTTCTCACATTTTCTACCAATGTATCTAAATTCATCACTCAGTTTTTCATCATTTATGTATAAATGTTCACCTCCTTTTTGCGGTCAAACTACCTTTATTACTATTTGATATATTAATTTTTATATCTCTATTAGACATTGTTTCACACAATCTAAAATTCATTGCAACTCTTTCAAGTTCTCAGCCAACTGCATTGGACTATCTGCTTACAATAGTACATTTATATTAATTTCCATTGATGTACACTAGCTTCACTACAAGCGATTCTTCCACAAAAATATTAAGCAATCAAGTGATGTAGTTTCTGTTTTATTCCTTAATCAGTAATTAAACACTTGATAAACATTAGAGTTATTCTTATGCATGGTTGCCTTTTATCGTCTACTGTATTCTGTCACATTCAACAATTAACTTTCAAATTATGTTTTTTCAAATATGAACTAAAGATTCATACTTTCATTAACATCCACAATAATTTTTCTGAGACAAATTCATACTTTACGATATATATATATATATATATATATATATATAT